CCTACTTTACCGGTTATTCCCATTGACCTCATTTTGTGTGCTCATCACGCCATGGTCACATTTATCGAAAGCCTTTGCGAAGTCCGTGTATATCACATCAGCATTCTGTTTTTCTTCTAATGCCTCAGTGACTTTGTCGTAGTGCTCAAGTAGCTGTGAGAGGCACGATCTTCCCTCTCGAAATCCATGTTGGCCTGGGTTGTGAAGGTCATTGGTCTCCATTAAATTGGTGACCTGACTCCTAATCACTCTCTCAAATACTTTTATTATGTGGGACGTTAGTGCAACTGGTCTAAAATTCTTTGCCAATGCTTTGCTCCCTCCCTTGTGTAGAGGGGGCTATGTCTGCTACTTTAAGTGCATCTGGTATCTCCCCCGTGTCCAAGCTCTTCCTCCACACTATACTGAGTGCCTGTGCTACCGGCACTTTGCAATTCTTTATAAATATTGAATTCCATGAGTCTGGACCTGGGGCCGAGTGCATGGGCATGTTTTCAATTTCTCTTTCAAAATTTAGTGCGCTCGTGTTGATATCAGTTATATTTACAGGGGTTTGAATATCCCGCATAAAGAAATTGTCTGGATCTTCCACTTTCATGTTGTTTATTGGAGTGCTAAACATGTCCTCATACTGCTTTTTTAGGATTTCACTAATTTCTTTGTCATCCTCCGTGTATGAACCTTCACTTGTACGAATAGGTCCAATACTGGCAGTGGTTTTTGCTTTTGATTTCGCATATGTGAAGAAATAGTTTGGATTTTTCTTTATTTTCTGAATTACTTTCTGTTCTAACTGCCTTTCTTCAGTTTGATATGAGTGTTTCAATTTCCGCTCGATTTCTTCAATCTCCCTATTTAAATTATTCCTTCTTTGACGGGAAATTCGTGTCTGCATAAGCAGTTCCGCTATTTTTTTTCTTCTTTTATAGTGTCGTCTGCGTTCTCTTTCTACGTTGGACCTCTTTCTGGCTTTCCTCAAAGGAACATGTTTCAGACAGACTTGATACGCTTTCGAAGTCAGCTTTTCTATTTCTTCTGTAGGACTTTTGTTACCTAGAACAGCTTCCCATGGAATGTTTGTAAGTTCCCTGTTTATTTTCTCCCAGTCTATCCTTTTATTATTAAAAATTGAATTTACTGAATAGCCCCTCTCGCTTTATCAACGTTTTAGGTCTATTCTGAGTATTGATGGTCGTTTGCACTTCAATGAGCTTGTGATCTGAGTATGTGGTATCTGATATCGTAATGTCCCTGATTATGTCTTCATTGTTCGTAAAGACCAGATCTAGAATATTTTCATTTCTCGTTGGCTCCGATATCTGCTGATTGAGTGAAAATTTGTCACAGAATCTAAGTAGTTCTCTAATCTGTGGTTGGTTTGGTCCTGATAGATTTCCTGGTATAATATTATTGTTTGCTATTCTCCACCTGAGACTAGGCAAGTTGGGGAAATCAAGTAGTTATTAAGATAATATCAGGAGATCGGGGAAAGCCAAAGCTTATCAAGGCAATTCTACAGTATTTTCCTTATCATGTTCTGTGAATTCCTTGGCCGTGAATAATCTGGCGGTTTATATATTAATAGGTAATAATAAGCACACTATTTTCTTTATTCCATCTTAATCCCAGTACCTCTACCACCTCTTAAGTGCGTTGTCCAAAGGACAGCTCCGAGTGCGCAAAGTCTTCCCTAAAATACGGACCCACTCCTCCATGTGACCTAATTCCCCTATCACAAGTCGAAATAGTACTTATATGGCTGCTGGGGTCCGGAAGTTGGGGCGTGACGTCATCATTCCCCGTGCGCCCGTGCCATAAGCTCTCGGGGGCGGTGGGGCGCTCGGGGCGGGGTGCGCGAGTTGCCGCGAATATATTTTCGTTCATTTTTTGCGCACCTTTCCAAATACATTTTCATTGTTTTTATGTGCCAATCCAATGTATAATGAACACGTACACTATAATATCGCAGTACAACATCCGTACTGTCCGTAGACACTGTGTTACGTGCATGAAACTTGTGTACACATATGCAGCACATATTTACTATGTATCATGCTAATTTGTGTATATATACAATCTATTTACACACTATACACTGTCACACACTATATACATTCACCATCAACACATTCAGAACACCGCGTAGCAGCTGCTTCGTATGGGCCAATAGCAGCTGCCTCGTATGGGCCAATATCAGTTGCCTCGTATGGGCCAATAGCAACTGCCTCGTATGGGCCAATAGCAGCTGCCTCGTATGGGCCAACAGCAGCTGCCTCGTATGGGTCAATAGCAGCTGCCTCGTATGGGCCAATAGCAGCTGCCTCGCATGGGCCAATAGCAGCTGCCTCGTATGGGCCAATAGCAGCTGCCTCGTATGGGCCAATAGCAGCTGCCTCGTATGGGCCAATAGGAGCATTTGGCCATGAACACATTCAGAACACCTTGAGTGAGAGCAGCCACACCCAGCCAGTCTCCCTCACTCCAATATCTTACTCGCCAACATTGCTCCTCCCACCATATTGCTATAGTTCTTATTACACATGTTCTATATACCTATCTACATGTTTTATTTACCAGAACTATGCAAGTAAGCCGGTATTGTGTCCAAACAGTACAGTGGCCACCATACACTGCATGTAAAATCACACAGCAGACGACGCTTCGATTACGTCACCTCCCTCACCAAAATAGCTCCTCTCAACATTCTCCTGTTGCTGTTCTTACACTATATACACACACTATAAATACCCATGTACATATGTGTTGCCCATAGCGAACCACTAAGCTAGTATGGTGAGCAAAACAAGAGTGGCAGTCACACACGCACAATGAGGCTACCTCAATTCTCGCCCTCCCTCCCTCATCAAAATTCCTCCTTCCACAATACTACGCACAATGCTAATTATAACCACAATCCTGCTATTATCACAATCCTGGTCCCTGATTCCTGTAAATGAATAATTGACCACACGTTTATTTTGAAAAGGAACCTAAGAAATAATTTGAAGATTCCTAGATGAACGAAATAATGCTGTGGTGCTGTGGCTAGCGCTGTGAACTTCGTGAACAGCATTGAATCACTGATATTTGAACATTGTACCCAGTCATTATCACACTCAGGCTCTAATATAACACTATCATAGCTAAATAATACAAGTTATATATATATTTTGACATTATTAGGCAATGCTGTGGTCACATGCTGAACAGCAGTGCTGTGCGCTCATGCTGCGAGCGCCAGCCTTGGTTGCTCACACACTACTGAGGCTCCCACACCCGGGAATGTGGACCACGATTTTTTTTAAAGATGGCGTCTGTTTACAAGAGCCCTGAGGAAGCTGATGTGAACCCCATGTAGCCGCGGGAGTTTTGAATGGAACGTGAAAAATACAAATACCCGGAGGCGCGTTGCGCAAACCAGAAGTGAGCCTGCAGGCGCGTTGCGCAGTTTAAGGGTTAATTGTTTTAAGACCCTCTCGTTTATTATCCAGCTCCTCCTTTGGCCATGTGTTGCATGACGATGGACTATATACATTTATGATCTTTAGTTTATCATCCTGACTGCAGATCTCTAGTGCTATTATGTCAACTTCTTGTGGATTGGCAATCATTATTTCATTTACCTTTAGGTGTTCTTTCACCAGCACAGCAATGCCACCGCCTTTCCTAATTTTTCTGTCCTGTCTCCAGACTGAGTAGACTCTTGGGAATATGACCTCATTTAAAATATCATCATCACATTTTATCTCCGTGAGTGCAACAATATCTGGTGTCTGCAGCTCTATTACATCACTTAACTCCAGTATCTTTGATCTCACTCCATCAATGTTGGTGTATGCAATTTTCAGGAACATGTTCCCCCTTTCCCTTATTCTTCACTACCCCTTTCTCTAGTGATTTTGTTGGTTTGTCTTTTTGTACCATTTTACTGGCCTGCCTACCGCTATCACTTTGTAGAAAAATGAATTGATTCCTTCTTCATTCTTGCTCTCATTTAGATGTTTTGGCTCGACGAGGTTCAGTTTTAGCTTCTCTCTGTCTTGCTTTGAAAGATCTCGTTTTAACGACCATACTTTCCCTTCCTCATCACTTTGTAATTTTCTAGCATTCGTTAGTACTTCTTCCATCTCTTTGGCACTGTTTAGGGTGATCCTCAAAGGTCGATCTTTCCCTTTTACGTCCTTTCCAATCCTCCTGTAGTCGCAGACATTCTCTATGGTAGACCTTCCACGAGGCCAACAATTTTATCTACTACTTTCTCTTCTTGTATAGCTCTTTCTGACCTAGATGTTATCTCCTTTCTTTGCAACCAAAAATTATCAGGGACTTCGATCAACTGTGTTGTGCTGCAACTACGGGTTAGATGTTAGTTCTTTTCTCACTTCCAGTCTAATGTTTGTTTTATCCTGGTTGCTGTAGTGTTTGGCGTCCTTTACTGCTTCTTCTCTTTTTTCCTTCTCCTCCTCGACCAGGCCTCCACCCCCAGGAAGCAGCCCGTGACAGCTGACTAACTCCCAGGTACCTATTTACTGCTAGGTAACAGGGGCATTCTGGGTGAAAGAAACTTTGCCCATTTGTTTCTGCCTCGTGCGGGAATCGAACCCGCGCCACAGAATTAAGAGTCCTGCGCGCTATCCACCAGGCTACGAGGCCCCCCGGGACAAATGATGGGACAACCCGTTGTTGCTCTCCCATGGCCTACTTAATATGCTGATGCGTGAATATTTTCTGGGTGAGATTCAGAAATTTGAGGCTGTGTACTGTTTTTGCCATGGAAGCCTCTCAATCTTTTGATTTTAGATTATAGTCATTCAAGACAATACTCCGACGCCAATCTTCATCTACTCTTCTTGTTGTACTGGAAAATTCTATTACCTCCCATTAAAAGATATTGTCCCTACGTATTGAATTCAATGGTGCCCACAGGTCTGAATGTTGAAATTATGGCCATACAGTTTATATTTACGTGTACTTACATAATGCATATATTTTCTTACCAGGTTGATGGAGTCAATTATCATGTACTAAGGACAGGATGTTGGCCATACATCAAGTACCACTGCTCAAAGAGGCCACATGAAGATCTCTCTTCAGATGACAATTTATTCCGCATCATAAAAGTAATAAATTTAGGTAATTACAATAGCGTATTAAAAATTTCAATGTTTATAATTTTAAATCCAGCAGACTTATCTTATATAGTCTGATGATACCTGTACTGTAAATAAAAACCTATGAATAACTCTAAGGATAAGAATTTCAAGATAGATACTGGAGCAGTATAAACATTTGCACAGTAATTATCTATGTATATATATGTTTCAAAATTATATACAGTATATGTAGAATCCTTTGCATACTTGTGGAAGAAAAACAGTGCCTTTATTCAACAGGTATTCCCTGCTTGGCCTATGGCTGTGCTGCCTGCCTGCTGATCCGCTGCCAGGAAGACGTCCACACACCCAGTGGCACAGTGCCAATTTATTTCCTATATGAAGAGGACAGAAATGCTTTGCATTAAACCAGTGTTTTTAAACTAGTCCTTATTGTGAGAGGCATTAATTGAGTGGGTTTTAATGTGATCTAATTCAGCATATTAAAGTGATCAGAACAGTTATGTAAATAAATGGCTTCATATTTAGTCATGTCATTAAAATATTTTAATCAAAATTATTTGTGATTATAAAATTTAGGTAATGTATACGTCTATAATTTTATAAATGCTCCATGAATGAATTCCAGTTTTAATAGTGACACGATTCTATAAAGTATGGCCAATTTGACGAGGCTCGTTACTTATGGCCCCGAGGCGTGGAATATGCTTCAGGGTGTGTTTTGTGTTTACAAGCCAGCTGATATGTCTATTAAATTTGTGAGGAATGTTGTAGTAGGCAACCTGTGTCGGGACCTGAATGTGTTAGAACCACGACCACCAAGACCACTTGTGGCTATTGAAGGTTTGTACACTACTGTTCTTCAATGTTTTATTGCCACCCAATCTCAAAATCTGATAATTAAGGATTGAAGACTTTTGGTCTCTCCTAGACCATTATCATTATTGATTTGTTAATAGTCCAGAATGAACTGAAATGTTCCAATTCTTTATTTTCAGATTTATTGGCTGGGTGTCTAATTTTCAGCCATGTTATTGTGACTTATTGTTTGCAATGTTTTATACTTTAATTGCAGTACAGAGGAACCTCAGTACTCGAACAGCTCCCAACTCTAATATTTCAGCACGTGGATGCTGTGTTCACGTTCAGTACTTGTCCGTTTGCTCGGCACTCGCACGTAAACACTTGTCCCTGATGAGTCAGTTTAACCATAGCTGTCGTTCAGTGCACACCACCACTAGACTTCTCTAAACTTTCTCAGATATTTTTTATATGCTTAGTGTAAATAAGTTGCCAAGGCACCTAAGAGAGTGAAAGTTAATGATAACAGCCAATCAAAAAGAAAATTAGTTAGAACCACGATTGAGATGAAGAAAGAACTCATAGCAAAATATGAATGTGGTGCCTGCATGTCTGCTCTTGCTACCAAGTTTGGTATCCCTAAATCTAGTTCTTTAATAAAAGAAATGTGTGCAAACTGGGGAGAAGTGCAAAGTTTTCTTGAAGAATATCACCCTAACAAAGCTGTGATATGGTAGGGAAATAATGATTTTTAGAGCAAGTATTTTTACACATTTTTCTGTGGGGAGCCCCTACAGCTCCCTGGAGCTTATCGGGCTAATGTATGTTCTATTAGACCAGGACATTAGCTAAGGAGTTCAGACCTACCAGGGACCAGCGCCAGAACCTGGCCCCTTCAGAGAGGTTTCAGGGAGCAATGGCCCTGGAAAACCCCCTTATGGTTGGGGTTTTCCTTATCTGCCATCCATCGGGGGTTAGGCACCCAGAAAGGTAGGCATAACAAAACAAACCCCACATGGTAAAAAACTAAAACAAAAAACCGAACAGAGAGATAGAAACTCCCTACAATCCCAAGGAAACAAGCAAACAAGCAAACATCACACTTTACTGCTGTGCCGATCGTCCGCACAGCCCTCCATGCCCAGAGATCAACTAACTAGCTAGCTCGATCACTAGCCATGAGCGCCAAACAGCGACGAAATGTTTCTACTCTTTTCAGGGTTGTCAACTCCACACTTGTCCTACAGCGTCAGATTTGGTATCACTGAGATAGCAATAAAATTCCCTACACGGACATATGCATATAAATGTAGAATCATGGTCGCGGCCCACCAGGAAGAGTGTGAGAAGTGGCGGAAGTGTTACCCGTTACCGCACACCCGACAGCACATCGGCGAGACCCTTATTGAAAAGTGTATACTCTTTTTCACTGTTCTGACCTTAATTTTCGATGTACGTATTTCATTTTTGTAGCAATATGTTCGCAATAGAATGTTCTAGAAGAACATAAGTATAAAATGTCTCACAAGGATGCGTTAGACCGGCACCAAATAAAAAACTACGTCGATCACTAGCCGTGAGCGCCAAACAGCGACGAAATGTTTCTACTCTTCAGGTTTGTCAAGTTTAGACTTGTTGTACACCATTTTTATTTGGGGAGAATGGGAATTTCATGGCGTGCATTTTGAAACTATCCCCAAGTCGATCGGATAAAAAATGGATTTTATAGAAATATTTTTTCTCGTGACTCGTGAACGAGTCAGTTATGCGGACTCGAGAAAAATTGGTGCCGCTCTAGAGCAACGCGAAAGTGTTAAGATTTTATTTTTTTTTCTCCTTTGTTTATTATCTGATTTTGTTGTAACCTTTACATCCTGGAGAATGCATATGTTTTCCTAACTATGTGAAGAGAGAATGAAATTGGTCAACAAATAAATTAGTCACAACTCGCAAAACTTGGGACTTATAATTTTTTCTGAGGGGAACCCCTACGGTTCCCTGGAGCTTATTGGGCTAATGTATGTTATATTAGACCGGGACATTGGCCATGGAGTTCAGACCTACCAGGGACCATGAGCCAAAACCTGGCCCCTTCAGAGAGGTTTCAGGGAGCAATGGCCCTGGAAAACCCCCTGTGATTGGGGGTCTTCCTTATCTGCCATCGACCGGGGTTAGGCACCCAGAAAGGTAGGCATCACAAAACAAACCCCACATGGTAAGAAACTAACAACAAAAACTGAACAGAGAGGTAGAACTCCCTACAATCCCAAGGAAACAAGTTAACAAGCAAACGTAACACACCACCGTCGTGCCGCTCGTCCATGCTGCCCTCCTCTCCCCGAGAGGGGGAGGGGGGCCCCGGACCTCACCACGCTGGCTGCATAGCACTCCAGTTCTGTCAACCGGGACAGACACTTCTCTGGCCTCGGTTTCCTAGGCGGTATTTTCCATCTTGGCGCTCACTGCCGTGTTTTGTGTTATGCGGTGGCCAGGTGTTCCTCATCAGTGCCGGGGCTGCATGTGCTTAGGCGCTTCCTTTCCTAAGCGCCCTGTGAGTACTGCCTTTGTGTGACAGGGTTATCTTCCCTGAGGCGTTTGGGAACCATTTCTGTAGAGGTTCTTGCTGCTCGGCATTTGCAAGGGCCCCAGCTGGCCTGGGGCTTGGGACCCTTGTTTGGCCTTGGGTATGGATTGGTTTTGTGCTGGTTAGGGCATCACGGTATTGCGCGACCTGCTACCTACACGGCGACTGGTTCCTGTTTCCTCTGGGGACTGAGTACTTTTCTGTTTTTTGTTTTGTTTTTATTTTCATTTGCCTGGTGGGGGTCTGCCTAGTGTGGCTATAGTTCCACTGGTACTGTTTGGTGGCCCCCCCCCCCCCACCGTGATTGTACACGTCGTAGGGGTTTTCAGTGTTGGCATCTACCCTCTTCCCGGGGTCCCCTTGTGTCAGGGTGACTCTCACTGTTAATGCCTCTGTCACTCTGCCTGTTGGGTCGGTGACACTTTCAACCCGGAGTCCTGCAAGTTTTGCTGCTCGCTGGTGACTCAGTTTACCCAAACCAATGATGATCTTTTGCGGGTACAGGCGGCACAGGCATTGCATGTGCACTTTAGGTTGTTGCAACACGCTAGGTTGGTTGCTCACCCGGATGACCCGAGGCTGCCCCGTTTTGCTTATAGGGACCCGGACTTGGGGGGGGTGACTTGGTCCTTCCCCTGCTGTTGTTCGTTCTGGTCCCCCCATCCCCTGCTTCTGGCCCCAAAACGTCTGAGGGTTTCGGAGTTGGGGCAGGGTTTAGATGGTCTTGAGACTTAGGCAGTCTCGGGGGATGCCCCTTCTGGTGTGGCGACGGAGGCATTCGAGTCTGATCCCCCTGCTGAAGCCTTTGGGTCTGACCAGTGGGCCCCCCTTCTGTCCGACTTACACAGCTGCGCCAGCCTTTTCTTTTGAGGCTGGTGCTTTGGGGGATGACTTGGCCCTGGGTCCTACTGTGGAGGATCCTGTGGCGTGGGAGGGGCAGATTTAGGGGCCTTGAGCCCTGTTGGATGCCGCCTGGGTTTTTCTGCCTTCTGAACGGGGCTTACTGTTACAAGGAGTGGGGTTCTCTTTTCCCCCCTCTGCATACAAATTGGATTTGGTATCTACCCCTCCTCGGGTTCGGTTCCGTGTCCCCCCCCCCCCCCCCCCGAGTGTGTCGGTTCCATGTTCCCCCGGGTGTGTCGGTTCTGTATTCCCCCGGGTGTGTCGGTTTCGTCTTTCCGGAGGTTTTCGGCTTCCCGCATCCAACCGTCTGCGGTGCGGGCAGCTCTAGAGTCTTACCTCCTGCGTGACCCGGATTATGCCTCGGTTATGGATCCGTCTTTCATGTTTGGGACATTGTTCCCTTTCTGGGTCCGTTAAGAGGTTCCCGAGTCGTCCTGGCTGGCGAACTGTCCTGTGTTTGCTTTGGAGGCTTCGCATTCCTTCTATCGTTCCTGCACACGAGGCTTCAACAGTGGTTCAGGTTTTCCTATGGGGCGACCTTGAGCATCTCAATGAGTGCTTGTTTGCCCCTGCCCTTCCCTCAGAATGTTGGCGTTGTGCCGCTCCATGTGCAGGTTCCATCCCTTTCGGCTGCGCAGGTGGCCGAGAATTTGCGTGCCCGTGGCCTCTTGGCTTCAGCTTTGGGTTTCTTTTCCCTCCTTGAGCTGTCTTTGGACTGGCTTGAGGAGGATGTGGGGACACTTGGGGCCGTTTCTGGGTCCGGTGCCTTGGGCTCAGCGACTCGCTCGTCGGCTGACTGCCTTGTTGAAGCTCTTTGCGCCAATCCTGCGGGATGCGGTTTCTGGCTGGTTTGGGCTCCCAGCTGGTCAGCTTGCTTGCTAGCCAGGGATTTGGTTCTTTCCCAGCTCGCCGGGTTTAGGTTCTTGGTGAACTGGAGGAAGTCCCATCTGGATACCTCCCAAGTTCGATCGTGGCTGAGTCTCGTGTTGGATTCTCAGACTGCTTCTTTGTCTCTTCCTCCGGAGTCTCTCCTGCAGCTGCGGTCCTGCATGTGCCTGTTTCTGGAGGGTTCCCGGATCACCGGCGGTTGTTCGAGGGTCTGTGCGGGAGCCTAAACTTTGCGATGATGGTCTACCTGTTCGATGATCATCGGCTGTTCTGGTTCCTTTGGGGACGTCCCTTTTGCCTCTCTCGTGATCGCTGGGTTCAGCCCCCTGGGGCCTTGCGTCGAATGCTGCGTCGCCGGCTTCCTCTTCGGGTTTTTCGGGGTTCAGTGCCTTGGCGCCTGCCCGAGCCCTCGCTCAATGTGTTCACAGACGTGTCGTCTCTTGGCTGGGGCTTTGTGACCAGTGCTCACCAGGCCAGCCAGGGATGGTGGGGTCCGTCCTTCCGTCGGGCCCACAGCACTCTGCGGGAGTTCTTGGCGGTGTGGGTTTGCTCTCCCGAGGGTTTGGGGTCGCCCGCGGATCGACAATCCGGCTCCATTCGGACTACTCCCCGGTGGTTCATTGCCTGAACCGAGGGGGTTCAATGCAGTCCTTGGCTCTTTGGCGCT